TTTATTATGTTGGCTGGAGCTGTATCTTTGTTACAATGATATGTAAATATTAATATCCCCATAAGAGCATTTTTTTTTTAATTTGCAATCTAATATCCAGTATTGTGCACAATTATTCCATAAGCTAATTTTCAATCAATCTGAAAATCATTTTGGCATAATGCTCCTTCTAATTACCCTTCTGTTTCTATTGTTTCTATTATTCTTTCGTATTGTTTGGAGTAATTAAATTAGTTGTATTGTTTTGTCCATTGTCATTTTCCTCTTAAAATAGTAATTTGCTTTGTCCTTGGTAATGCAATTTATTTAATTGCACAGCAACGATGTTGGCCTCTTTGCAGAGAACAAGACTGAAATGATCCTATACGCTATTAAAAGTTCTATTCAGATTATTTTCGCCACTGAGACTGAGAGAACGACGGCAAGATCTAGGAACCAATCCGGGTCTGCTGAATTTTTATGTGCTGGCAGGTTGGGATGGGGGTGATATCTGCAGCACCCACGTTACCTGCTTTTAAAGGTTGGGACTACATTTTCCAGCAGCCCATTTACACACACTGGGAAGGAAAGGGGGGGCAGCATTGTTCTCTGGGGAACCACAGCATCATACTTCCAGGAGCTGGTGTACCTCCAATTACTCCTTGGGTAGATGAGGGTTGTTTGGTGCACTTCACATTTTGCACTGTCTAGAAATATTTGATCCCTTAAACTAGAGATGCACCGATATATCAGCCGCTGAAACATATCGGCCGAAAATTGCACTTTTGGCAAAATGCCGAAAGTGCCCTTTTTGGTTGATACAGCGGTGCATCCGTGCTTTCTCTCCTCCCTGCTGGGTGCTGCTCTGTGTCCCAGCGGGGAGGAGAGAAACTCACATGAGGCTGAGCGTTGCTGTAGGAGAGCGCTGTGAGTGGCTGGTGTCTCTCCTCCCCACACCACTCAGCCTCCTGTCACAGATCAGGAGAGTGGTGGTGTGGGCGGAGACGGCCATTGCTGTCACTGGAGGCTGAGCTCTCCTCCCCCACCACCCCGCCCAGCCTCCTGTGACCGTCAATCCAGGATGGAGAGCGGTGATGTGGGCGGAGACTGCTGTCACAGGAGGCTGAGCTCTCTGCCCGCCTAGCCTCCTGTGACAGCGAGTCAGGATGGAGAGTGGGTACAAGCAGTCAGTGATCAGTGAGTGTTTGTAAATAATTGAGGACATAGTATGAGTTACTATGTACCAGTTATGAATGGGAAGTGATCTACATCACTTCCTGTTCATTCATGAATGTGGACATGGTAAACATACTATCTCCACAAGTTATGAATGAACAGGGACACTCAGCATAGAGGATTCCTGTTCATTTATAACAGGAGCTGCAGAAAGAGATTGAAGACTCTGTGTTCTCAATCTCTTTTTTTCTATTTTAAAAGAGAAATATCAGGCGTCTAAACTTTAGACCCCTGATATTTCCTCGAAACCCCTAACAGTAAAGTAAAAAATAAAAATATTTAATAAAAATGAATAAATAAAATATAAATAACTTAAAAAGTTTATAAAAAATAAAATATTTGAAAAAGTTAGAATAAAAAACATTTTTGGTTTCGGCCTGACATTTTTTAAAATTTCGGTTTCATTTCAGTTTTAAAATGTTCATTTCGGAGCACCTCTTCCTTAGACCACATTACCCCATGGTCCACGCTGAGCTGGCACTTGACACATGCAAATATCCACCCTCTCTGTGTGTCACTTTCACCCCAATGCCTTGGACAATGGGTTTTGATAGAGAAAACTGGCCTGGAAACAGGAAGGTGACAATGGCAATAGTACATTGAGGACTACAAATACAACAGTAAAAAAATTAGTCCTGCCCACAGCTTTACATGGTTTTGCTTTGTCCCTCAATGCAGTGTAAATGTCAAATTACGTTTATATATGGTAGCATTCATTGTGGGTGGCTAGGGAGAGCCATTGAGTCTAAAAGGAGCCATTTTCATAATGCAGGTTGCTGTGGGCGAGGTAGGGAAGCAGAGTTTCCTTGAGGTCTCCATAACCAGATATGCACCATCAACTTATTGTATTGGTTACTCCATGATAACTCTTTATGTTGGGTTAGTTAAAGAGACCCTGTCACCATGTTAAATGTTCCTTATGATAAGCAGCTTTATATAAAGTAAACGATACACTTCCAGGGATGCCCATTTTTCTTAGTTATTAATCTTTCCAAATCGTTAGTGAATTCATCAGTTCCGGGAGTTTCAGATTTCTAAGTCTTTCAGTCCCTCATTTTATCCCACTTCCCCTACGTCAACTGCCTATGCAGTGGCTCCCTGCATAGCCATGTGAGAGCTCAATAGAGAGGGCAGGGGCACTCCATTTTTGCCCTCCCACGTTAAGCACTCCATTTTTGCCCTCCCACGTTAATAACAAGATTGCAACATTTTATTAATATGAACCATTCAAAGTGCCCATAATGATGATTATATAGCGTACATGCGTGGGATTCTGCACTCCAAAGACTTCTCTGTGTGATCTTTAATCACAGTTAAAGATCACACAAAGTCTTTGGAAACCTTGCAAATGGAAACAGATGTAAAGTATACAAATCAAAAACTCAAACGCAAAGCTTGGCTTAAACTACCCCTGTCTGTAGTGGGCAGAGTAAATCTGATTAAAATGGTCTGGATGCCTCAACTCCCTGTATTTTTTACATAACTCCCCGATCTGGATACCTCTACGTTTATTTGATCAAATTAACACAATTTTCAGGGAACTTATATGGAGGCATAAGCAGGCTAGGCTGAGACTGGATGCACTGCACAGACCTAAGGTCTCGGGGGGAATGGCCCTTCCCAACCCCTGGTTGTATTTTATAGCGTCGCAACTGCAACATCTGGCAGGGTGGACGCACAAACATTTAATATTGTCTTGTATCTTTTCAAGGGGCTAGACCCGCTGCGATACCTGATGAGGGAGGGCGGGTATCTGTACTGTAAATCAGTTGTATCAGAGGTTCCGCTATATGCTCCTTTAAGGATCTACAGGCTGAGTTTCTGATACACACTAACTGTTTTTTTGGGTATCTCCGGGTGCGCCACACCCTCCGAGCACAGTTCCCTCAAGGGGCTCTGAGGTTCTCGCCTACACCGCTCTTTGACACACTGTTTACCTCTACAAGTACCAAGGGGCTGATTTCATTAATGTACTCACAATTTTTAATTAAATTGGTGACACAGGGCCCCTTGCAGTGCAGAACAGGGTAGGTGGATGATTTGGGTACCTTTCCGGATGAGATATGGGATGAGATCCTGGAGAATGTTACTCAGGTCTCCCTCTCACCCACCCATAGACTGACGCAACTGTTCATAGTACATAGGACGTACCGCACCCCGGAATTCCTTTTTAGGATAGGCTACCGTGAGGATCCCTTCTGTCCCAAGTGCGGTTTCCATCAGGGGCCCCTGATCCATTTACTATGGCGCTGCCCGAAATTAGTACGCTACTGGTCACAGGTCGTGCATAAGCTTAATTCTGTCTTCAGTGTCCACCCGACGCCCTCTCCACTTATGTGCCTTTTGGGCGTATTCGATGCAGATTCACAATTTGATCCTACACTGGTGTTGGCCCTTAGCCGGGCACTGTTTACAGCCACTCGTCTTATTGTCCGTAAGTGGATCTCTCAGTCTCCGCCTACGGTCTCCGACGGGAAGGAGGAGCTTGATATAACTATTGCATTTGAGCGTATTACGTACCAAGAAAGGGGCGTCATTCATAGATTTTACTCAATTTGGTCCGAATGGTTGTCCACCCGCCCTGTTGGGGTGCCCCCTTGACCCTCCCCTTATGACCTTTTGGTTATTTACTCAACCCTCTCCTGGGATGACTAAAACACTGGAGACGTGGGAGTGCAATTGGTGTAGAGTGTTTATTCACAATCACTTTTGATATATGTCTTTAAGTATCGACCTGTACATAGTGAGATGTACAGTGCCTTGTGGTAGAGGCTGGTTACTATTCCCCCTCCCTTTTTTTTTTGGTCTACCCTTTTCCTTTTTATATGTATATATTTTCGTTTGATGCCCCTGCCCTTGATACATGTTAATGTATTCTTTGTACATGATTTTGTATTCTCATGCTAAGTACGTTTATGCTGGTCACGTGCAATTTACTGCATGTGTGTGTGTTAGTTTTTATTGGCTTTTTTTACAACAATCTGATTTTAAAAAAAAAAGTATACAAATCAAACGGGATAATATGAGGACAGGTTCACTTTAATGAGAGGCTACTTTAGGTAGACATCTGTAGATCAAAATGATCAGGAACCATAATCAGTACATCCATGAAAGTGTATTTTGCAGTTGGAAGGAATACATTTTAGGTTCCATCTCTCAAAATCAGATCTAGAGGGATCTTTGAGAGTGGACTGTTGCCCTCTTGCTGAGCAACACACTTCTGCGTTGTAGTGCTTTGCATAGAAGGGGCCTGATATGAACAAAAAAAAGTGCCAAAAAGGACTGCTCAGCCAGTATAGACCGATATAAGCACGAGTGTGGTCAGAAAAAAAGTCTGTTAAAAAAATTATTAATAAATAGCACGTGTATAGAAAGGTCTGCAGGATGCTGCCCCAAACCAGCCAGGGAGACCGCAAAATCTAGGGAAAAAACACAAACAAGGGGCGCCCATCTGATGAAGGGGGCGTGACCCCGGAAACACGTCATCACACATCACACAGTCTCCTCTGCTGACACATAGACACATAGACATAGCTTTCACAGACTTTCTCTTGGGTCCATGGACTTATTTTTTAGACTATAATCCTGCTGAATTTTGTGAGTATGTTTTTTATCTACCTCTGATCCTGATCTTAATAAATTTGTCTGCACCAGGAAAGGCGCCCCTTGTTTGTGTTTTTTCCATAGAAGGGGCCTAACCCAATGTTCTATTCTCTGGTCCGTGTGTGAAATAAAAAACTCCAGACGTGAATCTCTCCAACATTTCTTATGTTGTCTCTGTACAGATGTTGCTGCCAATCTGATTTCCGAGGTCCTCGGCCGTAAGGTCCAGATCAAAGGACTGATTGGGAAGAGGGCGGCCAAGTGCCCGTACTGTGACTCTTACTTCATGAAGAATGGCTCCGATCTGCAGAGGCACATATGGGCTCATGAAGGTATTTTCCGATCGTATTCACTCCTTGGTGTGGGATTCTCCAGGCCTTTGGGTCAAACAGAACTGTATTTAACCCAATAGGACAAAGACTTGACTAAGCAAAGTCCCATTTAGGGTTATGGGTTTTGTGGGGTTGTAGGCACTTGAGAGTTCAACTTAACTTTTTATATTCTTAGAGATGGAGCTTAGTTTAGGAGGGAAGGGTCATAAGCTAAGGCCACTGTGTACATCATAGCCTGGAATTCAGGGGCCACAGAAGTCAGTTTTGGTACACAGGTACTTCTTGGAACCACCAGCTGCCTGAAGTTGAGGAGTAGTTCTTCACTCTCCTGACTATATATTGTGGCAGTGATGTGTCAATCAGAAGACTGGCTGAACAGGTGTACATTATTTAGGCAGGTAAAACATCTCACTTTTTTGTATGCATTGTGAAACTCAATGCAACTGTAACTTCCTGTATTGTTTCCAGGTTTGAAGCCATTTAAATGCACCGTGTGTGATTACGCCACCCGCAGTAAGAGTAACCTGAAAGCTCACATGAATCGGCACAGCACAGAGAAGACTCACCTGTGCGATATGTGTGGGAAAAAGTTCAAATCCAAAGGGACCCTAAAGAGCCACAAATTCCTCCATACAGCCGATGGTAAGTATCAGCCTTTCCGATAATCCTCACCCTGCCATTGCCAGCAACTAGTGATATATTAATGGTTATTCACAAAGAAGACAACCGAGAAATTAGCCAACACGGATCCTGGTATGGCAGCACTCACACCTTTTGGCTTCGCCCACTTCCGTCACTCAGTAGGAAGGTCCTGGGTTCATTCCTGGGATAACTTCCCCTTCCTCAGCCTTGCAGATACTTAACCTGGTTAGAATAAAAAAATATATATATTTGTATTATTATTTATTTTAACGAATGTCAGACAGAATTGATTTGTGTTTTTATTATCTGTCTTGTGTCCATATTTAAATATGCAAAAACCCATTGTAGACATATTGTGTAGAAGAGCTGTAGCCCTGTCACTGTACACCATGGTGGTGAGATTTTTTATATGGAGGCGTGTTGATGACTTCTGACTTTATAATTTATTTCATTGCAGGAAAGCAGTTTAAATGTACTGTATGTGAGTTTACAGCAGTCCAGAAACCCCAGCTTCTCCGCCATATGGAGCAACATACCTCTTTCAAGGTGAGAAATGTCTACAATCCATAGTGCGTATTTTTTCAGATGTCATTGATTTGACTGCACACCCAGTAGACACACCTCACTTTACAGTATCCACATCACCAGTGAGACATACCCTCCTCCAGTACACACACCTCACTCCCCAGTACCCATGTCATCAGTGAGATCTGCCCTCCAGTACACACACTTCACTCTACAGCAGGGGTGCCCATTAGGTAGATTGTGATCTACCAGTAGTTCACAAAGCTGATGCTGGTAGATAACGATTGTAAGTCGGCTCACTATCCCGAGAACCCTCCTATGGTCTGTTTAGCCCCTCCCTGTCTGCTGCGTCTGACACATGAAGGCAGAGGCCGACAATATGAGAGCAGCGACATTAGGATGGAAGGCTGAGCACGAAAGGAGAAGTACGAGGTCTAGCTTGCCGGTGTTCTGTAATATTGCCAACCGCTTTACGTTTGCTGACCTACGTAATGCACTCAGCAAATGTGACAGAACACCGGAAACGTGTCAGAGGTGGCAGATCTGGGAATAATGGGTGGCCCCTTTATTCCATTTTGGTATATTTATTTAGCTGTGCACGCATGATTACCTATTAGCCTGAGTCTGCTGAGCCAAGCTCCCTGACACCTTTGTGGTGGATACTGGTGGTTGAAATGCTATGTATTACATCAAAGAATATTAGTTTACACCGCCTGTTGCACTACACTGTCTGCAAAATACAGCAAGGTGAGCCAGGAGAGAGAGGAAAGACAGCCAGGGGAGAGAGAGTGAGGAGAGACAGTCAGGAAAGAGAGCGGAGAGACAGCCAGGGGATAGAGCAAGAAGAGACAGCCAAGAGATCGAAGAGTGACAGCCAGGAGAGAAAATGAGGAACGACAGCCAGGAGAGAGAGCAGAGACAGCCAGGAGGATGAGCAAGGAGAGACAGCCAGGAGAGCGAGGGGAGACAGGAGAGAGAGAGCGAGGGAGGTTTGTTTTTCCTTGGTAGATCTCATGTAGCTCGTCATTTGAAACACAAAAACTGTGGGCACCCCTGCTCTACAGTATCCATATCACTTCTGCCTCCAGCGCACACACCTCACTCCCTAATATCGATATCACTTCTGCCCCCGGCACACACACCTCATTCCCTCACTATCTATGTCATCAGTGAGATATGAACTCCAGTACACACACCTCCCTTCCCAGCATCTGTAACACCAGTGAGAGCTGAACTCCAGTACAAACATCTTACTACCCAACATCCATATCACAAGTGAGATCGGAACTCCAGCACTTACACCTCACTCTAAAGTATCCATGGCACCAGTGAGTTTTGAACTCCATTACACACACACTACTCTCGCCAGTATGTCACCAGTGAGATCTGCCCTCCAGTACACACACACTACTCTCCCCAGTATGTCACCAGTGAGATCTGAACTCCATTACACACACACACTACTCTCCCCAGTATGTCACCAGTGAGATCTTCCCTCCAGTACACACACACTACTCTCCCCAGTATGTCACCAGTGAGATCTGCCCTCCATTACACACACACTACTCTCCCCAGTATGTCCCCAGTGAGATCTGAACTCCATTACACACACACTACTCTTGCCAGTATGTCACCAGTGAGATCTGCCCTCCATTACACACACACTACTCTCCCCAGTAGCCATGTCCTCGGTGAGATTTGTCCCCATGGCATAATCCCTGGCTCCTTTTCCATGAATTCGCTCCATAGTCTTTGTCCAAAAATCTTGAAGGAATTACTAGGTTCCTTTTTTAACGTTTTGTTGAGATATAAAATGCCAGACGAAAAGAGAAAAGATTTTGGTATTCTTGAGGGAAAGTTCGTGTTTTTAGATGTATCCGGGATAATTAGTTTAATTTATAAACATTGGACACTTATGATAATGAAACAAGCACTGCCTGAAACGTTCTACTTTATCTGGCAGAAAGTATTTACCTACATGCTTGAGATCATTAGTTGTCATTAGGATCATCAGTCTTCTTGAATAATCCATTTATCTTATGCAAATCACCTCTCTCCTCATGATTATATTAGGTGTAAGAATCTCACATTATTTATTCCTTTCTTGTATCTGCTGAGATGTATCCCAAACCCTCCTGTGCTTTCTTTCCAGCCCTGGTGCAGTGTGTGCTTACGTTGCTCTTTAAACCTTCTGTAGCACCTTTTTTTTATTTTTGTTTTTTTACTTGGCTATCATATCTTTGAAGTGGACCTTTACACTCAAAAATCTAATTCTACCAATGCCTCCCTCTATGTATGATGATTAATAATAACATAGACATGTCAGGTGTAAAATGCTGTGATTGTGAAATACTTACACTTGCAGAGCATTCACTTCCTGCCGTGAAAGGGCAAAATCACTTCAGTTTGGCAAAGCAATGCACACTGGGATCGCCTTGTCATCAGCAGAGCATTGCTGGGAAATCTTATCTGTAATCTCAGGACATCTGAGGGAAAGGCATTTTCCTCCCCTGAGATGATGTGCATGGTCACATGTCTAGTCACATGTGCCAGAAATCCAGGAAGTGAATAGAGATCTAGTAATCTGCCCTTAGTAAACATGGTCTCTGTCAGAAAACTGGGGAAGGAAAGAGAAATAAGGAATGCAAAGAATAAAAAGCCAGCAATTATCTAGAAGTATGTGTGTGTAGATTGTTATTACTAAACATTTCTAGTAATGTTGTTTGTTATTTTAAAGACATGGGTAAAGGTCCGCTTTAAGTTTGTAATATATATTTGTAATCCTTTTTTTTTCCCCACCATAGACACAGGGTATTGCTATACATTTTGGAATGTTTAGAGCTGAAGTTTAATCTGCTTATATTTTGCCTTCCCTGGTTCTTCCCTCCCCCCTCATCAACAGGCTAATGTCCTTTTTAAATCAAAACTTTCTGTTTTCATTAAATACCTTTTATTTGTGATATCATCAGGTCAATGTGTTTCTCTATCCAATGCAGGCGGATTGTTTCTGGTGGGAGGGGCCAACAGGGTGCTGGACCATATCCTCCTAAAAACAGGAAGCTGTAGTAATGCCTACCGGTGATGCTGAGCCTCTGTGATCGAAAGAACTGAAATCCAATGAATGAGAGGGGGCGGGGCCAGGGACAGTCAGAATGGGGAAAAAGCAAGATGATGCAGGAAATGAGGCGGGCTCTATCTGACTTGCAGCAGCTTCTACTGCACATTTTGAGAAGCTCACAGTGTGCAATGCAATCAGAGGAAGCAATTTCATTACAGAAGAGTAGTCTGTGTACAACTGTGCAAAAGTGAGGGAAAGGCCGGAGTTTACCTTCAACAAAAAGGCAGCACTTCTCCTGGATCTGCTGGGAGCTGTAGTGTACATGACTGGCAATGATGCCGCTCCGTGATGTCAGCAGTCATTTTGTCCATATATACAGGGTCTCATCTATGTGCAGATTATACAACCAAAAAAAACAAATCTTTAAACTTGGGCTGCAAGGACACAGCAATAGGGCGTTATAGATATAAAAACCCCACCGCAGATATGAATGGCTGGAAAATGTGAACGTGCGCCATTTTATATTAATATATGTCTGGTCTTTTTGGGATTTGTTATTAATTTAGCAGATCTAGAGCAGTTCATTATCAAGTACATTCCTTGAAGGTTTCTGCTCCTCCAAAAAACCTCATATCCCATTCTGCATAATTTATGGGGCATTTATTAAAAGCTTCAATTCTATAAGATGTCACAGAGGAATTGGCATTTTATAATAGAGGTTAAGAGGATGACTTTCCAATATGACGAACGAATATTAAAAATGATTAGAGCTGCCATATATTAGTTTTGGTATACCAGGCGTTCTCTTGGCCTCTTTCTTGGAACCCCAAAGAACGGTTGTGCTAGTGTTTCCATCTTCCAAGTCAGCAATTTAGCTCCCATATTTCCACCTTGCCGGACTCCTCTCTGTGACAGATGGCATTCCACCAATCCATGACTAACGTAGCAAAGTTGAATTCTAGAGCGGTGTTTCACTTTTTATGTAGGTTTGCCTAATCTAGTCTTGAATTACTTGATATTTAAAATATAAAAGTTCCATCACTTGTATGTTCTTTCTTCCTTATTAAAATGGATTTCTAACCAACATTTTAGGTCAAAATAAAGTAGGAAATGGTTAAAAGTGACACGAAGCTCAGGAATGAAATCTTAAAAATACATTCAAGTACCTCAACTATTAACAAAAATGTATCTTATTTGTGTATCACTCGGCTGTAGATCCTCCAATCATCTCTGAATTGGTGCTGACACTGTCCTTCCTTCTGGAGGGGGGCTACTTTTGTCCCCATGGTCTCTGTGTGTGTTGTAAAGTAGTCACCACTCCAAGCTCGCTCCCGTGATGGACTACAATCTCAATAGAAATTGGTAAACTAAACATGAGATAAGGTACTTGAATGCATTTTTATATACAGGTGAAACTCGAATAATTAGAATATCGTGCAAAGTTCATTTATTTCACTAATGCAACTTAAAAGGTGAAACTAATATATGAGATAGACTCATTACATGCAAAGCAAGATAGTTCAAGCCGTGATTTGTCATAATTGTGATGATTATGGCTTACAGCTCATGAAA